TTTCCTATATATTGTTATATATTCGTTGTACTTTGTTCATATAGATGTTATATATAAGATTCGTACTCGTCGAACCTCTCTCGCAGTTGAAATAGCTGAGGCATCCAAACTGTATGCCCTAATCAAAAACATTGAATCTATCTCATTATTTACGGTAATTCCAAATACCTTCTTTAACAAATTATCTGCCTTTACTTTTGCTCTATTTAATGAAAAATTAAGTCTATTCTCCAGTTTGCTCATCTGATCAACCTTTGTAGCAAATATTTCCCTCACCATCTTCAATCTATTGGGCAGTTGCCCATTAGAATTATCCAATGGAACAGAATGGTTCTGCTTGGACGAGGAGTTAAAACTTGCAAATCCTAATCCTTGTAAACTATCTGTGGACTTGCCATTATTAACCAGCGAATTTATCACATCACTTCTAATTTCTGTTAGTGGACTGTCTTCTGTGTCATTGCATGAAGTAATACATCGAGGGAAGTCATGAGAATTTGCTGGCACACCATTTTCCATTCTAACCTCCTGTTCAACATCTCTCCACTTATCTATCTCACATAATATTTCCTTATGTTCCTTCTGCAATTTTTCAATTTCCATTCTATAGTTTATATCCGTAAATACCTTCATATTACAGTACTTGATGATTTTCTCACTATACTCATTCCTTACCTTTAAAAACTCAATGCACTGCTTTAGAAGGGTGTTTATGTCTTTGTCAGAAACTACTTTGTAAATTTCATACGATTTCAACTGAGGTGTCGGCTTTGGAATAACTAACTTGAGAGTAGATTCAAAAGTATTCTCTCCATTGATATTGGAGATTAAACTAGAGCTCGAAGAGGATAGATCATTTGCAACAGCTTTAACTTCTGTTGGTAATTCATTAGCAATATCACCATCATGCACTCTATTCTCTCGGGTATCCTCTACATACAGATTATCCATAATTTCTGTGGTCAAATCCAAATCGTCATTTATGATGAGGGTATTCCTTCGCCTCACTGTTGTAAACTTAAATTCTATGTGGTCTCCATCGAGATTGCGCACCAATTCATCATTGGTTGGATGCACATTTTTATTCGTTGTCTTTGTATGGAAATTCTTGGGCACTTTCATCGATTTCAAGTTCTTACTTTTACCACTGGATTTTTTTTCTACATTATTGATGTAAATCTCTCTATCCCATTTTCTATTCAAATCTGATATTCCATCCATCTGAGAGCCAATAGTACCCCTTATATCCGATGCCCTTGCTTTTTTGTTTGTTTGTTCTCCCAGCAGGCTAGTTTTCTTCCTATCCTGAGTATCACCCGACTTTGTACTCTTTTTTGTTTCCTTTATCCTCTTAAAGGTAAACCCATCATTTGTTTCCATGGGCAAAAAATGAAAAAAACAAAATCAGCAAGAAAAAGATACAGACAACTGATAAAGATTTATCTATAGAATATGAATAGATACTGCTCCATGCCATCTTACTCCGAACTCTTCCATGGCTATATTCTATACAGACAAATAATTGATTAATAAAACAAACGCAATTTCACTATATGATGTTGATCTTAATCAAATTTATTCCCATTCTATATTCACTCCTTCCTTTCCATCAATTTCTACACCATGCTTTCCGAAGAAATCCCTCATAGCCTGGACTACATTCCCATTTTTTTTATTCATTCTCAGGCCATTCAAATAGATCAGAGATCCGGAAAACACAGGTACATACAGATTGTTTTTTATAGAATACTCTACAACATTTCTCAAAGAGCTGAGGTTTTCTGAATAAACCTTATAAAACAGATCCGACAGTTCCAAAAAAGAACAATTCTGTGACTTCCCAACATTTCCACAATCAGTACTACAATCACCTCTGCTTGAACATGCTTCATTACTCATCCTGGATATTTCAGATAGTACTTTACTTCTTATAATACACCCACTACTCCATATTCTGCAAATATCTCCGATCGAATAATCCCATTTATACTCGCTTTTGGCCATTAGAAGCAAATTTGATCCCTGGACAAATGATACTATTTTAGACAAGTAGAAAGCTGACTCCAAATCTGACATAGAGATTCCACCAATACCCCCATCGGCAACACAACCATGCATTTGCAGTTTTTCTGCAAACAACTCTCTCTTCTGCTTTTCTGCCGATAAGAATCGACCAAGAACTGACTCCGCCATTAGGCTGGTACATACATTCAGCTCAACGGCTGTGTTTATACAAAATTTACCTGTCCCCTTCTGCATTGCCCTATCATTAATCTTATCCACAACCAATAGGCTACCTTCATAAGCTTTACGAAATATTTTGGAGCATGTTTCCACCAAATAACTAGAATTTCTACCAGTGTTCCATTTACAAAAAATATCTGCAATATCAACATCCCCATCCATACTACGAACTATTGTCACCACCTCCTGAAGAAGCTGCATCTCACAGTACTCTATCCCGTTGTGAACTGTTTTTACAAAGTGACCTGCACCATTAGATCCTAGCCAGCCACAACATCTAAAGGTTTTTTGATCAGAATCATTCATTGTTGTTGATGTAGCACTTATGCTTTCCAACACTTCCCTTATTTTCCCATATATTTCCTCTTCACAGCCAACCATCATTGATGGTCCGTTTCTTGCTCCAACCTCTCCGCCTGAAATCCCACAGCCCACAAAATTCCTATATTCCGTGCTTCTTCTGATGGTGTCTTTGAAATTGCTATTTCCCCCATCAATAACAATATCGGAATCCGTTAGAAATGGGTAGATGTTGGAAAGTATATGATCAACAACGGATTCTGGAACCATTACGAAAATACATGTGTAAAAAGAGTCACAGGATTCTGCGGCAGAGGCAGTTTCAGAAGCAATATCGGATATTTTAGTAGATTTCTCTCTGTTATGTTGTTGGAATAATGACTCAAAGGTACGATGAGCTATTATCCCATATTGCTCCAGGTTTTCGGCTTTACTGAAAGTTCTATTCTGAACATGAACAGTATACCCTCTGTCATGTAGATTTAGTGCTAAGGCTGAGCCCATAACACCCATTCCGATCACAGCAACACTGTGAGAAGTTTTAGTCATGGGTTGGAAGAAACAATTAAAATATAACTAATCAGGGGAAATATACAAAATTTTACACCATTATAACAAGAATGTATATGCTCCAATGACAAGTAAGCATTGAATATAGATAGTTCTTCTCATTAATCAGTGATATTTCTCTTAATATAAGTTTAATGAATAGTCAAATATCTACTACACATTTGTAACCAGGCTATATTTATTCATTGAGCTTGCCCAAACAGCCTTTCAGTCTATTGTTAATTTAGAGTTCATAGTATGCTCAACAATCTTCGCTCATATTGTCCATAGGATATTACTAATGTAAATGTTTTCTTTAATAATTTTTGAAAAATTTTTACTTTTGTGTTTGAAGTTTTGCAAGCCCTCAAGAATGCGCTCAAATGGTTACAGAAGAGGCACTCGTACGCTTTTTAGAAAAGACTTCAAGAAGAGAGGAATGCCAAACCCTACAAAAGTGCTGCAGCCATTCAAGATGGGGGATTTGGTAGATTGTAAGGTTGATCCAAGTATTGTCAAGGGGATGCCCCACAAGTACTATCATGGCCAGACCGGTAAAGTGTTTAATCTGAATCCAAGATCAGTTGGAGTAATATTTTACAGAAAAGTAGGGCATAAGTATATCGAGAGGACAGTTCATGCAAGAATTGAGCATCTGCATCTTTCGAAGAGTAATTTGGATACCAAAAGAAGATATGCAGAACATCAGAAGAGAGTTCTTGAGGCTAGAGAAGCAGGTGATAAGGTGACAGTTATAAAGAGACAGCCAGCTGGGCCCAGAGCAAGTTTTACTATTAGTAAAAACAACAATACACCAGTAGAAGTTGGATTTAAAGCGTACAATCCAGTATTTTAATAAAATAATTTAGAAAACATTATTCTGTGTTGAATAAACACTTTCACTCTATCTATATTAATAAAGTCATTTTACTTCTATATTTATGGACTCTAACAGACATTATGGATCACCGAAAATGGTAGTCATTATAAGAGTTTTTAGGCTGGTGTAATTTACTTTCCACACATGAACCGATGTTCCTCCCTTCACAAAATAACAACAGTCTTTCAAATATTTATTTTTCCAATTAAATATCCCATGCCATTTGAATTTGTGGAAATTGAACCAAACTTCCGGTGGAAAAATACAAGAAAGAAGCAGAAAGATAGAGGATGCACATATTTGAACAAGAGATTGGCACTACCCTTGTCTCATCCAACTGTTACCAGCAAAAACGAGATTAATACAAATTCGAGCCATTGCAATAGAGATTTAGAGGTATCAAGTGTTTTGGAGGATTCTTGTAATCAAACGCTTAAAAAAATCTACACCAACGCTGTGGATGGGATATTCCGAGCAACATCACCGGATTCTGCAGTTTGTAAGAAAGAGTCCGAGAATGCTAACAATGAAAACTCTATGAAATCGATTGATCTCATTACAGAGAACAAGCCGATTGTCACGAACAGGCAACAGAGAGTCTTGTTAAAGTCTTTTGATCCTGCTTTAATCATCGGCACCATTCATGTTGTTCTGAATATGTTTGTAGGATGTGCTTTCCTATATATTGTTATATATTCGTTGTACTTTGTTCATATAGATGTTATATATAAGATTCGTACTCGTCGAACCTCTCTCGCAGTTGAAATAGCTGAGGCATCCAAACTGTATGCCGTGAACCGGTGTGATCCGTCAACACGTGTACCTGCTCTAGAACTGCAATGCAGTGAATGGGAGTCGAAAGTACAAAACGGATTCCGGGCTTTAAATTATACGAAGGTGGTTGCAGAGCAAATTGCCGATATTATTGATGGATTTGTGTGTAAATTTAGTTACAAGAGCATCGCTTGCTGTATACTTTTTATGGTGTTTTATCTAAAATTTAGAAGATGAAATAAATTGGTTTGATATCTTGCTGGTTTATACAATCTGAAATCTTCTTTTGTGGTTGATCATCAACCTCACTTTAACAAGAATGGCATAGCAAAACTATTATGAGACTTTATTTATTGATCATGGTTTTCCTACAATAATATTGTTAATGGGAATATGAACCACCTTAATAATGTAGCAAAAGAATCCAATAATGCAAACCCCCGCCACATGGATTCTAAGAATCGGCTTAAATTCGGACATCTTAGGACGAGTTGTTTCCCTAATAAATTTTCGGATATTCCTCACGTAAGTGGAGCAGACTTTCCCAAGCTTTCCACAAGCAGATGATTTCTTCAACTTCGAACTTGCATCACTCTTTGCTTGAGAATTCTTAGTTGGACCAGTAGTCGAGTTCATTGAAGGGCAAAAAGTTGACTAACAAACCAAATTTTTGTAAAAAGATAATTAGACCTAAAACAACAAATACCAGAGTGAGATTACCTACTCCAACTCTGTGTAAAAATGCAATTTGCTTGTGACTAGTAGATTTATTTAGTGATAATAGATGTGAAGAAGTTGTTTGGTAGCTTCATTTAGCATGGGAAGGTCATGTGTCCATCTGTTTTGAATGATTTTGGGCATTTGATGCTAGTGACAGACTTTGTGGAGGTTTTAATGATTCCTTTTGTAAAATTTGGAAATTGTTTCTGGGCAGATTCTAACTTTTGAAGAATTTCCTCTGGACGCATTTGGGGTAATTTTAAGATTATCCTGAGTTTCTACAAATAGCACTAGGCCCATGTATTAGGAGCCTCAGCTCTATCTACACAAACATTAAGCTATTGCATATAGGAATACTTCATTTATGTGCATCTTCCAAGGACCAGAAATATTCTGCTCAATATACTCTGTAAAATATAGGCCAAAGAAGACCATTTATTAATACTATCAAATGTATATAATCCTCCAACTAAAAAATATTTTTCCAAAGATTTACTCTTATTCCTTAAAATGGTTAATGATGAAATAACTGTGATAGTTTGCAAAAACGAATTTAATAGCCAGTATATTCCCAGCATATCAAAAGTTGATAAAAACACCATTAACTGTAATAGTGGCGATTATACTCTGGTTCTCCATTCCATGAACTTCGTCAATGGATCATCAACAATAGAAATAAATCCCAAATTATTTTACAGCTATTGAAATTTTGCAACTTGAGCAATATTGAGTTTATTCTAAAGATGTTTCTACCACACAAATCTGTGAAATCTACGGAAAGTCGCCAGTCCTCAGGGGGTAATACTGAAGATAGCATGTATAAAGGTTTGAAACACATCAACTTATCAGACAAGCAAAGTAGAGAAGAAATCTCTATGATCATTTCAGAATCATATCCATTTTTTCCTGAGATTTCTCGGTTATTGCATGGTACTAATATGGTACCACGAAAAAGACATAAGGATAATGCAACCAGTCTATCAGCTGCAGAAACAACAAGACATAAACTGTTTCGGAATGCATTTTTGAGTATGCTGAATGAAAATGAGGTGAATAATGGAACAACCATGGATTTAAATACTTCTCAAAAGCTTGCTGGCACTATTTCTGGATTTATTTGTAGCAATCAATTTATAGAGGACCACTATAACATAGAAATAATACTCGATTTGATAAAAAAACTGAAAAAACAGGTATTTCCAGGAGTTTCAATACTCAAGTCGGATGTTATTCATCGAATGTGCAGCAGCACAAATGAAGCACGAAGATATTATGGATTGAAATTGTCTATTGTACTGGAAGAAAGCATTTCTTGTAATATGATTTTTGATCAGAGTAAAACTATTAGGGACACTCTCATCAGTTACAAGGGAAAGTTAGATAATACAGAACTGAAAAACACAGCAAACCCAATAGAGCATATAAAGAACCTATGCAATTCATCTTTGGAAACCTTGACATTTACCAATGGCTTTAATGAATTGCTCACCGAGATTGTAAAAGTAGATCAATATTCCTATAAATATTTGACAGTTTTTATTAACACCATAATTGCCAGCAATAATCTGTATGGATGTAGGGAGATTCTTTATGATCTATTGTACCAAGATGATTGGCGGCTTCAGAAGCAGTGTATAAGATATTTTGCCTTTAGGGGAGAATATGCATTGATTTTCGATACATTGCTTAAATCAGAGAATTTAGGGCTTATTCAATATATCAAACGGATTTTACAACGAATAAAGCCAGATTTCCCATCTCTCGACACTTTCTATCAACAAGGATTTGATTTTTTGATTAAAAACAATACGAACTGTAGAAAAAGTGGTGGCATTTGCGAATATTTCCTACTGGCCACCGACCCTTTGAGAGTATTTAGACAAGCGATGCAAATTTTATTGAGTTGTGACAATACCTATACACAGTTTCATTGTCTGAATTTATTAAAGCGATTGGTTCAGAAATTGGATTTGTTGGAAAAAATAGATTTCGAATCAAATAAACCCGGCAATTATACAGAAACCAGCATCAATGACCAATCTAGTCTATCCCATGCTTTAAATACCAGTCATTCTTTGGATAACTCCGAAAATAGAGGACAGTTGTTTAAATGGGCTTTAATAGAATGTACAATCAACAAAACGAATTCAGATAACCCCACAAGCATTAGAGTGATTCCATTGGCCTCTTTAGTTATTTTAATATCGTTCAACTTTATTCTTTCAGAGTCATTTTCTGTGAAAAATGGTGGGATTTCACTTTTCACCGAAATTATTGAAAGAATCGAGAGAAAAGGTAAGGGGAATTTTAATGAAGAAGCCACAATATTCGAAAAAATATTGTTTTTGGACAGTAATCTAAGAAGTGTCATATATGAATACAGACAGAGCTTGCCATTTTATGTACTAATGATCTACCAGAGAATAAGACCAGATCAGAGAGAAATGGATTTTACAAATAGGAAATTAGATGGGTTGATGAAAATTAAAGCTTTGGATGTGATTATGTCCCAGAATGGAAACTGCTCAGAAGAAAATATTATCTATAAGAGAAAAATCACATTTCACAACAAAAGTGAAAAGCACATTTTACTGTATTTGATTGAAATGCTGAATGGAAATGAATATCAGGAGGAGGCTATTGAGTATATAAGGGAAAACTTTGGAATGCATACCTCGAAAGACTACCTAGAACAAATTTATCCTGAACAAGCAAGGGTTTTTATTAGTAAGCTTATCAAGTGCAAGGGTTATGAAGAGTTTATACAAGAAGAGCTATCCAAAAGGATTAAAAGTTGGGATATACTTTGTGGTTGGGATTTCCAGTATGATATTGATTTATTAATTAAATGATTTTAAAGATGCTTAGTATGTTATTCTGACAAATGTTAATTTGGATATGAAAAGATTATTGTAATTATTTGTAGGATACAACCATAATATATTTGATGTTTTTTAAAGCTCATCAATTCAAAAGATTTTGTATTGTTTATTTTACATTAAAAACATATTGATTTGGTAAAGACATGTTATCCAAAACAGAATTATTATTATCGTTGAATTCTTTGTGCCGAAAAATATATTGATATTCTATCATTAACCAGAGATTTTTTGAGGATCAAAATCTAATTCTATACGTGATGAATATAGTGGAGGCAATTCATATGAAAGTAATTAAAAGGTCAAGGATACATTTTCAAATTTTATATACAGTTAATGAAACTGAACTTCTAAAAACAATATTGTCAAATGGATTTGGTACAAGCCTATAAGTGAATCAAAATTATGTCTTGGGTTGTATATCTATCAAAATGGAAATTCAGTATAAATAGCTCAAAGTAAAAATATTACAATATATGAAGTTTGTGATAATACAGAATATTTGTAATTATTTAATATTCAATATCTCTATATAATTTACTACTTTGCAATGGTTATAGAATAACTCTTTGATAAATTACTGTCATCTATATTCAGTAATTTATATTAAAAACTTCAAATACATACAGAGTAGTCTCCAAATTAAATAGTATATATTCTCAATATTCAAAATTTATCACACTTTTCAATCAAATAGAATTTCTTTCTTAACATCTAAATTATTAATGGCTCTAGAAAATGAATTAATATTATTCTACACAATTATCTATGATGGTTTAGATCGGTATCTTTTTGTGTTGTTCATGTGAAATCACTATATTCTACAAATCATTTAAAGGTGTTGAAACTCGAGAGTGATATAAACTGATTCCTCCTTTGCTATTCAATATTGTTTAGATATTATATTCATTTTCAAAAAACACTTCCAACAAGTCACTGCTAGATATATCAAATTGATGAACATTTCATATGCAATCATATGGTCGAGATGCTACTTTGATACTTTTACAAGTATTTGTGCAATGGAACTTAATCATACAATTGACACTTAACTATTCAATTAAAATATTCATAGTGAATTAGATAGCTTTCTTCCATTCAAAATCTATCAGTAAATATAATAGTTCCAGGTAAATGTAGACATATTCCACTCCATATCAAAAATTTTAATATTCCCAAACTATTTCCAACTGACCAATACATTTTGTCAATTCAATTCATTGGAAAATTATCTAAAGAATGTTTAACTAATCATTCTATTACCAGCATTATTTTCTTAACATAATAGCTCATATAAATAGCACATTGAAGAATCAAGTTTAGTCAATACAATTATCAAAATATGACAATATTCAACAATATAACATAACAACAAATAGCATTTATTAGAATATTAATGGATAAACATTGATTAATGTATTATAATATAAAGTTTGGTCATTTTGGATATGATTAAATATAAATGTTAAAAGCAAAAATTAATGAATGCTATGGTGATGGTATAAACAGAAATATTACAATGGCAGCATAATATATTTCAGATTTGGTAGTGATTTGATTGATAAGTATAAGTATGGCTTCAATCGATTAGATTCAATTCGTATATAAGTTTAAAAATTCGACACGACAAAATCAAGTTAGAATAGAAATATATTGATCATCAGATTTCTTCCTAATAGTTAACTACAATATTCTGTTCTGATATTGGTGATCTTATACAATAGACCTAAATATATTATTAGATAGTTGCTGAAACACTTCAATTGTATTGTACAATAATTCGTATTTCAGTATAATGTATACTTATATAATGATGTATCAATAGGTTTTTCTAGTTATAAATATCAGAGATATCATCACAAATCATTGTTGTTAAAATATACCTTGATTTCTACACAAAGTTGTAATTTTGTCTTGGATTTAAGCAAGATATTAGAGGTATTATTATATCGTTGTATTTATCCAGTTTTAATAATTCAAATAATGTAATTACATAAAAGTATATTGGAAGTGTATAAAATAGTGACGTTTAATTAAAATCTCTGAAAATATTCAAACAAGATCTATCAGTGTCAATTATCTATAATTTCATTATTAAATATTTTAAAACAACAAGTTCAATTCATATTTTGGTTGTCTTCATGAAAACTTCCAATATCTGCTGTGTGAATTATAGTGGATATGTGAAGTTCAAATCACATAATAACCCGAAAATCTAAGAAATATGACCTGACCCATTAACTTGCTAAATGTATGATATCCATAATTATATCAATGAAGATTTTATACGAAAATATACAATATAAACTTTGTGAAATACTTCAACTATATCTATAAATATCTATATTGTGCTCATAATCAGATTGAGATATTTCAAAAATGAGAAATCATAACATAAACAATTTACAAAAAATCACCAGGCTTTGATGTCTAATTTTCATTTAAAGACTATCAATTTGAATGAAGTATATATTTAGAAATAT